CTATATAATAATAGAAAAAATATTTCTATTATATATACTATATTTATATTATATTTAAATTCAATTTTTGAAGCTCGTTTAATTTTTAATTGCCGTTGCCAGCAGTTGGTCGAAGAAATCTTCAACTCTAAGCGAAGCAAGCAACTTCAATCATCATGTCGCATTTTGACTGTCAGTGTGCGAATTATCGTAAAAAATTTTATGTCATAATTTTTTCCAAACACGCCTAAATAACTATAAATTCAAAAAATTGTCACAGTTTTAACAACACATTAAAATTTTTGACATTAAATTTTTTATTAACGAAAAACATAACCGACTGCAAATATCTTTAATAATAATAAAATATCTTTATTCACATAGACGCTTGCGCGTTCTTATGAAACGTCAAAATTTTACAAGAAATTAACACGTTCGTAAGTTACCACCGGTTCGGAAAGCAGTTTCTGTTGAGAAGAAACCGGCAAGAAACTCGACAGTTGCTCTTTTTTTAAAAAATCAGTTTACAATATAATAGTACAGGTACAATAGACTTGTTTTAGCCTACGTGAGTATGAACAGTATTAACCCCACACATTGGCGTCGTCAAGATATTCGGCAATAGTATAATAGGCTTTAGCCATAAGTGTACTTTTAATTTTTCGTTTAAATTCATCAAGTGGCAGACTTAACATCGACTGTGGGATTTTATTATACATACGCACACTTTAATCTCGCTCTGTATTCATTTTACAATTGATTTTCGGGAGTTCCCTACGTATCTTTGGAGCCCAAAATCTAATACCAATGAAATTAATATGGTACCGTACATGGGAAGTAGCAGCTTTCAAATAAAAAAAGTAACAAAAATCGGTTCAAAACCTTTTCACCACCACAAGTTTTGAGGTAAAAAATATTAAAAAAATACAGTCCAATTTAGAACCTCCTCTGTTTTTGAAGTCTGTTGAGAAATATTACAACTGTTAAACTAACATTTTTATTATGTATAGATATAAAAAAAAATCTAGGTGTTTTTAGTGTTTTACATTTTGTATAAAAAAAATTATACTTAAGAACTCCATTCCCAACACTAGCATTATTGGCGGGAACGTTGATTCGTAATTTGATATAAGAGACTTAAATCATATTAGACTAGCTGTTATCCGCGGCTTCACCCGCACGGCAAAAAGGAATTAACAATGAGCTTTTTATGGAGCTTAGCTTTTAAAGGACATTTTTTAAATTGGAAAACAGTGTCGTAAAGGGTTGAAAGGTTAAAGAAAGATATTTATTTAAGGGCTTCAACGCGAGCGAAGCCGCGAGCGAAAAGCTAGTATCTTTATATATTACAGCCTGTCTTATTCTGATTTATAAGCTATAGTATTGTAAAGTTTCATTAAAATCTATTCAGTAGTTTTTGTGTGAAAGAGTAACAAAGATCCATCCATACAGACAAAGTTTCGCCTTTATAATATTAGTAAGGAAGTAAGGACTAGCTGTTATCCGCGGCTTTACCCGCGCGGCCAATGGGAACTAACAATGAGCTTTTTATTATACACCTATATTTTGGACATTTCACAAAATATTACTATTATATGCTGCTATTTATACATTATAGCTTATGTGTTATTCTGATGTTTGTAAAGTTTTATTTAAATCTCTTCAGTAGTTTTTGTATCAAAGAGTAACAAACATCCATCCATACAAACTTTCGCCTTTATAATATTAGTAAGGATGTAGCAAAAAATACAACACAGTTTTTCATATTTATATATGTGCAAAAAGTGCCAATTGCCATCAGTATGATTCTAAGACATTCTGATTTATTTTCATTACAAAAACATTGTTAATTTCCAAGGACAATAGGTACGGCCTTTTTAAATTTTAGTCCTTTTCGTTTTCCTATATGTCCAGCATTATATTGCGAAGCTATAAAATTAGGCAACCAATAAGTGTCAAATGTTCGGTTTTTAAATTTTAACAATAAATTTATCCTCAAATCCAATCGATAATCACAACATCATTACAAGTAATTCACATTAAGAGCATTTCTTTATATAACGTTTGTGTAACAAACATGTTGCCTATACTGAATCATTCGAAATTCGAATTACCAAAGCTCCGGCAAATCGATGCGCTCACGTTTTCTTCCATGCACTATTCACCGTCACTCTCACTCTCGGCATAGAAAACGATTTCTCGTCTCTATCGGGCAAACTCGCACTCGGTCGTTGGTCAGGCCCGCGCAACGTGAGCTCACATTAAAAGATAGTTCAACGACATATTTGCGGGCGTTCGTAACTACGCCTTTTACGTTCTCAACAATTTCTCGCCATTTGCTTTGCAAATGGCCTTGTTGACCTAAAACTAACGTATGCGTTGACGTCGCTCCGGATTAGGTCTCGGATTTACATACGCTCAGGCCGGAGTTAACATCGTAAAGGCGTAAAAGCCTCGTTTTGTCGCAATACCTACATGTTATTCATGCTTGACCAGACACGTGTCGCGAAAGAAAAACACATCTATAAGTACGGACAAGCAATTTGCGTCGTTGCTTTACAAAAGAACAGCGCTGGTAACTGCGAATAAAATTTTAAGTAGGCACTCATTACTTGGTAACGGAATAAAAGTAACGTGACTAAAACGTAATACAACTGTGACCTACAAAGAAACTGCGTAGAGTAACGTTTACCAGCTACCTTGACGCCGATGTTCTTCCCGTGGAGAAGTCGAAAACAGGAGCAGCGAAGCGAAAGTAACAGGGGTATTAATTGAAAGAGATTCCTGAGGCGTATTAAAAGGTTGCTAGCGCCGGTTAATTTCCACGGGCGGGGGGCGAACTAGTAAAAACCCTTGCAGCGCCGGGCGCGGGCCGTCAGCGATACGCGCCGCGACCGGACTACGTCTGTGTGCGTGGCCGTCGACACGGAGCGATGGGGCTGTGTGCGCGCGGTCACGTTCCGCGCGGCGTGTGGAGGCCGAGGCACGGCGCGTGCATCCCCCCCACCCCCCCGCCGCGCGAGTCACGTGTCGGCGCGCTATTTTCGCCGCGCTTTCGCCACGCCACGCCATTCTGCTCCAATATAGGTGGGATCGCGCGAATATTTATGACACTCTCGGTTGTACGCGACCTTCGGGTTTCGGCGTCCAATGACTAATACATCAGTTTAACAAAGCCTGGATACATAATACACTTTTCGTATACCGAGAGATTATAGAACATACCGTTTCACGCGATGTTGATAAGTGATCAGTTTTACAAGTTGTCTGTACATTGTTTCTAATATGTGTATTAAAAACAATGTACAGACAGTTATAAAAATAGAAAATAAATGCACAACAAATAATGTACCTCAGGAGTATAACTCGGCTGCAATGATTATATCAATGGCATAATTATTTGATTTCTATTCACACTGAATAGTATAAAAACATAATAAACATATAACCTTTATTATTTTTGCCCAATAAAGTACTCCAACGTTACGATGCCGTCATCCTTATTTCACACTAATCTTTTCACAAGAAGGCAACGAGGAATTTTTTAAATAAAAATATTAATAATTGACAAAGTTCACTGTCATCGCAGTCTTATATAAATATTGGTAACATAACCTTTGGCGATCTTTATCGTATGATGATTTAGCTTTTTGGTCTTTTCAACGTTTTAAACTTTATAGGATCAACGTATTTGGAAATTTCTTTTTAAAATATTATGTTTAGATAGTACACATGTACATATAACTCCTTGAGAACTAACACCCAGAAATACATGTTCCAATCGGGAATCGAACACATGTCCCCCAGCGCTGAAGACTGCGCCGCCGAGTCACCACTAAGGGCTTTTGACACATTTAATATCAGAAAAATTATGTTCAATAAATTCCAGGCAAATACTTAGGTACTGTCAACAAGTACATATTTTGTGCGCCGTTAAGACCGGATTCTGATGAAAAATAAGTTTATTATATATTTTATATGTACATGCATTCCACATTACGACTTTTTCAATATACAAGGAAACCAGCCGGACCCTCTACGCACTCAAATAACATAACGTAATGATATCATCCATAATATGAAAACTTTTTGCAATATTTATTAATCTGTGCAATGCGTTCATTTTTTCATTTTCAATTTCGAAAAATAAAATCACAAAAACGGTTAATTTAGTTGAATAATAATTATGATCAAGTGTCTTTCGAAAAACGGTCACGTGCCGACACTATGTCGCTAACAATGCAATACGGGCACAGTAAGCTGCAAAACCAATGTGTAATTACATTAAGATGGCCCAACACAATCCGGTTTTAACCACCTCGATTTGTAGAGTTGTATGTTGTCAACAAGTGATACATATCCGACGTAATATGAAAATATTATAAACTTACTTCGATCAGCTAATTACTTTATTTTCCTTGATTATAAATTTTTATCAAATTAACTGTTGTCCTTAGAATTAAAAACATTACCTAATTAATATCAGGGAAATTAAATTTTCATATCAGATGACACAGATTTTAATTTCTACCTTAACGAAACAGGCATAAAAAAAAATCAAAACAAATCAATCAAAATTGGGCAAAATAGTCGATTTCAAAATATAGGAAGATCACGTTTCTTATAAAGTGATATCAATCAAATTAATCGAAGACATTTATACCAAAAGATATGAATTTGTTGTTTAAAGATTACGTCACCCAATGAAAGTATATAACTATACAATACCTATGTAATGACATTAAAATATACAGAAAGAAATTAAATGTTGTAATTAAATTATTTATATTATTTCTTAATATATGTATTAAATAATCAAAGGATTTTTGTACTAATAACATAATTATAATAATTAAAACGTATAGGTAATACGGGTTATCCCTTTGCATCCTTCTATTAATTAGATACTTCTGAATCGTGTACAAGATATCACATTATCTATAAATAAACATCTTGATAACATTAATCTACCCTAATACTATTTATTTGCCAAAGAAGGTGCAACATTTTAATGGACTTACTTGTCATACTTAACGGCATGTCCGTTTTCCTCCCAATAATGTCGGGTTTCCATATTAAAAATTATGTCACGATAAAAAACAAGAGATTTCTATGTCACCACAACACGTTATAATGAATATCACGAATCACCGCTGTCACATCTTTCCCATAAAAACAACTATTACACTTTATGTTAAGTTAAACCATCGGAATCCATTATTGTCGAACCGATTGACACAATTGTGCATAAATACTACGTATTTCTCAATGAGCACGGCAACGTCAACGTCGTAACGGATAAACGTTCGCAGCGCGTCTGAGTCAGATTTTCGCTCTTCGGTCGGGCTAACGCCGGCCGGCCTGAGTCATGTGACTATGCCGTCAAAATATGGCACGGGTACCGGAATGTGCAGCCCTCCGTAGGGTTATCCTACTCAAGACTTTGCCTTAATTTGTGGTCTAAAGAACGTCTTTACACTTGAACCAATTTGCTAGTACATAATATTATGTCCTATTTGTTATTACATTAATTAAATTCTTAGTATGATATTCGATTATAAAAACAATATATTTGCTTAAATTATTATTTTATAATTACTAAACTAAAAATAATTAATTACTTTCTATCGTATATGATTACTGTGTAAATAATTATAATACTATTTTAAAAACTTAATATAGAAATAGAATAATTATCCATCGTTATTAGAGATTTCTTTACATATTCAAGAAAATTATTAAAAACATAGTTTCGTACACGGGAATATGGCAATAAAAACTCAATAATACGGAGAATATTGATAAAAATAATTCAGATGGTTCACTTGACAAACAATATTATTGAGACTTGTTAGTCTGATGATACGTTCTTACTATTATTCAAAATAATCGTTTTTATTATGAATAAATTAATTCAAAATTTCAGACTTGCAACAGTATTAATGAAACCGGCCAAGTGTGAGTCGGTCTCGCACACGATGGATTCCGTACCATTATCTATAAAAACCGGCTAAGTGCGAGTCGGACACACGCACGAAAGGCTATTGCCATTATCTATAAAAACGGCAATTTTTTTTTAGTGATTGTTGTTAAAGCGGCAACAGAAATACATCATCTGTTTTCAACAGTCTCTATTACACACGGTTCATGACACGGTTCATAAAGCTTAGTGACAGAAGGATAGACAGACAGCGGAGTCTTAGTCCGCTGTCAGTCTATCCTTCTCGTTCATCATCAGTCAATCATTCAGTACCGCTTACGGTATTCTTTTACATTGTCACTTCATTGTTTTTCACTTTTTTTTACTAGATGTTCGGTAGCGCATTTACTAAGCCATTGACATCAGTGCCAAGGGTCGTGGGTTGGATTCCCTTACGAGATAAGAATTTTATCCTAGACAAACCTAACCGATACATTAATAAAATCACCCCATCCCACCGCTTGGATAAGGGTAACAGAGCGACGTGTATAATAATGTAACATTTACCTTATAGCCGCAACACCGTACTTTTACCGTTTTGCCCCGTATATATATTAGGTATATTAAGTTAACACTTTCATCTTGTGGTCGTTTTCTTATCTGCACAGCTGTTATTCTTTGTTAGGTCCACGCTCGCTTACACGTGACTTCCTCGAACTATACCGTGACGTAGGAAAAGCTACAGCGATGAGAAGACGTGCAAAATCACCCGGTTTCGTAAGACGCCATTTAAGAACATTATTTTCTCTCATCAATGAAACTAGAAATGCGTCAACGCCGTCAGATCTAACATCATAAAAACTAGCATAACAGAGATGAATGTTTGTATTAATAAAAATAATAATAAACATTTAACGCCAACACTAAAAAATAAATAATCTTACAATATAGATACTTTTTATGAAATAAATATGATTTTTTGTACCTACTATCTAATTAATCATTTCACAATCTAACTATTTTATTCATTATTATTTATTTTTATTAAATTTTCTGTTTCGGGTTATTTCTTACTGTAGTTTTCTGTTACATGCGACAATCATTGCGTTGATAAGTACTATGTGTTAGATTTTTAAAACGGCACGATTGTTTCACGGGAGAAAGTGGGTATCAGCTGCGTCATTGTTTGCTGGCGTGTTTTGTCGACCTTGTGCTCAGAAGGTTGATTCTTGGTTGCAGGTGGACAATATTTTTTCGTCAATTACATTAGGTTCGTTAGAACTTTTACCTATTGTATTTTCGTTTACATAATTATATTATTTGAAACATTATAAAATTAACGCACTTTTTTCGAACACCTTTATAACACATGCTAGATATTTCATATATATACAATATGAGCTTTTCGGTGTTGATGTTATTATTAGATATACATCAAATAGATCATATATCGGGCCAAGTTATCCCGTGAGTAAACGAATAACGTAAACGTAACACAGGCCGAGCGAATCCTCATCCCAAAACGCAAACTGACTGGAAAAAACAAAGCTTGGATATACAAGAAAAATATTTGAAGTACTTAAGATGTGGAGACGAACTGGTGTTGTTATTACCAACTGCAGCAGTCAACTACAACATACGACAGAAACTATACGAGGTAGTGTTTATCTTTTTTTAATAAAAAAAAAAAATATCAAACACAACAAAAACAACAAAAAGCCAAACATTATACATTGAAAATGATGCAGTCAAATATGTTGAACACTAATATTAACGAACAAAATACATTCACTTTGATAAACAAATGGGTTAACTGAAACAACAATGATTAAATGTGGCGGGGACAGTGGAAAGTACTTGCAACTCTTTCTGTGGTAGGGCCACGCAGCAGCCTCTGCTGTTGCACGAATGGGCAAGTACCACACACAGAAGACCGGCGTGAGGTGAAAGTATACCTCCGCGTTTCGTCTGGTGAGTGAGGAAATCGGGGTCCACTGGGTCCCGGGGGCAACGCAGCTGCCAATCCTACTGGTGTTTTAGATGTCCACGGGCGGCGGTAATCATTTAATATCAGGTGAACTAAACTCCCTTGCCAACTATTCACATGAAAAAAAATCACTTAGAGTTACATCCTGTAAATCTGTAGGACAAAAGAAGAGGAAACGCGACTTGCATTTTTTTGTATTTTTTCATTATAGACAAGCTAATTCTAGAGTAATAACCCAAGTTATAAATGAAGTTATTAGCGACAAACTTACTAGTTCAGAAAATGCCTATTCACTCTTGCATTCTAGACAATGCAATAAGAAGGAAGGACGGTACGAGGACAGATTGTACCATTCCTTCGCTGTACGCATTACGAATAACAAGGAATGTCGTAACAGTATAAAGAACAGTCAGTATATAAGAGGCCCATTGGCTCTCGTCCGGTGGTGGGAGGAATTAAGTCATGCAATTTTTGCGCTCGCATCTCTCATTTTGATTTTGATTTTGATTTTGAATGGCATCTCTGTGTTCGAGAGTGGACAGATTGTCGACAAATTCAGACTGACCCGTACATACTGCGCTCCATAAAGTCCATAGCGATCGTATTTTTTTCATATTTAGATGAGGCAATTTATTTAATCGTATTATTCGCTAGTCTCTTGTCTCCTTATAGTATATGGAATAACATAGTCTTTATTAAAAATACGGTGAAATAATTGAAGATAAATCTCGTCGATTAATTAGCAAGGATAAGTATTTAATTACTAAAAATATTCACTAGTAACTATCCACCCGATATATATAATTTCGATAAACGTACCAAATTCCTTAGATAGCTAACTTGCTTGAACGCCAGAAGTGTTCAGACACGATGGCTATAAATACGCGTAAATATCGATTTTACAGTAATAAAAGCTGCATGGTCTGTGTCGTGTTGGACAATTGTCACTAATATTATTGTATATCTTTTATATGCGTGGAATGAGTTTGGGGTTTACAGATTACGTTTTGCATTGTAGGTACTACGAAGTTAGTCAAGATGCTCATTTACTTACGGTGAACAAGTGACCTATTGTACATGATCAAGCTTTAAAAGTTAATTTGGTGAGGTTGTTGTCTGCAACTATTTTAGCTCGCGCAACAAAGCAGTACCTGTGTACACATATTTTAACGGAGAATATAGTAAATAATTTCTTCAACGATGAAGCTGTGAAAAGTGTAGAATAAAGAACATCTTTTCGTATGTCTCTATCATATGTCTGATGTCGATCGTGTTAGTTATCCTTGCTTCGGTAGATCCTTGACCAGCAGTAAGTTGATCGCTGGTGATGGATAACCCTGAAGGGTTACACTTCAACCCTCGCGGCGTCCACGGCAGCGGTCTTCGTCAGTTTATACGAAGCAACGCCTAATGTGTAGCCCTAAATCACCTAATGTGTAGTATAGTATGCCTTTTTTTTTGGTATCGGGGGGAAAAAGGTATAGCGGAAATACAAAATCTTATTCAGCTTTTCAGAGCTACAAAGTTAGCCACGGTCACGTTTACGAGCGATGAAAGACCACAAACTCTTATTGATTCTATTTTGAGTTCGGGAGTTAATACGTCATTCCTGAAAAGAGTGACGTTATCCGTTCTATAGCGGTCAGGCCTCGCGAAAAACACGTGGATCACTTCACGTTTTCGGTGTGTCGACTTCGCGCAGGGGACCCGCCAGTCAGAAGGTTATAATTAAATCTTTCTAATTTTACTTTATGTACCTTGGAAGAAAGTACGATGTCGTTTCTAAAAATAATTTGCGTGAAGCCTTTATTGCGTTAGCACAGCGTCCGGGGGCGTTCGCTTTTAATCCATACTAATAACTTATATTATAAACGCGATAGTAACTCTGTCTGTCTGTCTCGCTTTCACGCCAAAACTACTAAACCGATTTAATAAAATTAATTTATATATTTTATAAATAAATTTAATAAAATTCAAAACACACAGATAGTCTAGAACCTGAGAAAGGACATAGGCTATTTTTTAATTGGAAAAAAAGGGTTGAAAATATCTTTATTTAAAATATATATACAATTTTTAAAGAAAAATATTAATTTCAGGACTTCAACGCGAGCGAAGCCGCGGGTGAAAAGCTAGTTCAATATACTCGAGCAACCTGAGTTCGATC